AGCTTCTTTCTTTGGTGGGTTTGGTCAGCTTGTTTGGTGAGGTGCAAACTTTCCACAATTTCCCCAGTATGTGCTCCTTCCAAGGACTACAAACAAATGCAGTGGGAGACTCTTGTTTAAAATATCCATGGAGGAAAATCCACATGTGTAAAGCTAAGACAACACCACATGAGTGCACGGCACACACTCATGCACACACTCATGTACACACACACACACACACACACACACACACACACACACACACACACACGGTAAAAATCACCCAGTGCACCCTCCTGAGATTTGAGGGGTGGAGTCTGGAAGCGGGTCATTTGTAGAGTGTTGCTGCTCACTGGAGTCGGCAGAAGGCAGTCCAGTCTGCTGACTGCTGGCTTATGCAAACGCCACCTCCAACCCTGAGGTGAAGACCCAGGGCCAGAGTGGAGGCAGCTGTGTAAACTACAGGGTGGGGTATTTATAGTCTTGGTGAAGAGGACTGAGCCAGCCTAGAAAATCACTGCTTGATGCCATGGGCTCAGTTTCTTCTGGGAGCTTTCTGGACCTTCTTTCTTAAGTGGTGCATTAGGCATTCCATGACTTAGTTCCTGCATGTGCAAATGAGGCACTCTGTTTCTCTGCATGTTTGGGAATGGTGGTTCTTTGTCTGCTGGTTTGATAGAAGTAGGGCAGCATTCAGTTCCTGGGTTAGTATTCTTTTCAAAGGGAGCCCATGGGTTCTGGAAGGCCCCATCCCCAGGTTTCTGGATCTCTGACACAAGGTGAAAAAACCCATCTCTGTACTTTGTAGTCTGAGTGAAGATGAGTTCCAGCTTGGATTCTTGAACCATCCACAGCAGCAGAGAAAAGAGAGGTGTTCATTGTGAGAGGATGTGGTGAGATAGCACAGGAAGGATACTTGGTACATAGGTGAGAGGCATAAAGGATGCTGTCACCAAGGATTCTTCCCACACACCTCTATCTGCTGCCTCCCTAGGTATCTGAAAGAGTTAATCCCTGCAGCAGAGAGACTTCTGGGCCTGGGGCCAGTGTTTGCAAAGGATTGGAAGCCCTGTAGGACAGATTGAACCCAAGAGACCCTTTGTTAGTCTTGGGGTAAAGGCTGTGAGCTGGATCTGTTTGTTGTGGAGGGGGCACTCAAGAAGATCTATTCCTGGTATCAGGAATCCTTGGACTCTTATGCTCCAGCCATTAGAAGGAGGATGGAGAAAGGACAGAGACAGAGTGAAAGATGAGAGTGTATAAGGGAGTGAGATGAGCAGGGAGAGGGAGAGAAAGGGAGAGATGGGGGAGAGTTGAGGGGGGGAGGAGACTGAGAGGGAGAGCAGGCAAGCAAGCTAGAGCATGAGAGGGTGAGCACACAGCATTGTAATGGAAACTTGGCACCCAGCCTCCACTTTCTTTCCTTCCTCAGTGCATGCAGCCTGAGTCTCAGATTGAGAACAGGGCTTCCTTTCCTGCCAGCACACCCCCACACCATCTCCATGGTCCTGTCTTTCTCATGCCTTCTTCTCAGAGTCCACAGTAATACAGGCTGTATGTACTGGTGACATGTGACATAGGAGCCTACTGCCTTCCCTCTTTGCTCTGCAGCCCTTTCCCCTCCCCCTGACTAATTAGGCCAACATGCAACTTCCAGGGCCTGGCAGATGAAGAGCCAAGAATGCAGTGGACCAGGGCCAAGTGTTTTTGTTGACATTGCTCAAATGTAGCTTTGCGGAGCAGGCTCCTCACTGTAACAGAACAGTCTAAGGAGCTGGGGAGGTGAGTGAACAGAGAAGGGTGAAAACAGAAAATATGGATATGGATATGGAAAGGTTTCCACATCCAAGTTGCCTTTCTACCCTCCAAGGCTTCCTTACTATCCCTCTTCTCCAAATGCAGGAATATAACTTTCCAGGTCATGGCTGACCACACTGAACACAACACCAACAAGTGGAGTTTTAGAACTGTCTTGTTCTTTTGTTTGTGAGGCTTTCTAAGGACTCATGTCTCACTGGTATTTCTAATAGTTTCTGCAGCCATAGGTCCAGTGACAGAGTCTTTAACTATAACCCATCATAAGGTGCCGACTGTTTAATCCATCTAGCTATTGTCTATCCAGTGCAGCCATGGCACATTTCATTGTATCTAGGGATCTACTACACATTTGGCTTTTGAAGTTAATAGACTTGGGTTCAGATTCCTGTTCTACTTTGTTCACTACGATCTTGGGTAAGTGGTTTAATTTTTGTATGCTTCCCTTTCCTTATTTGCAAAATATAGCACTAATACTGCCACATGGAATTATTAGGAAGATGAAACATAATAATGAATGGGAAACTCTTTGCTTGTAACAAACATTATTAATACATAGAAGCCATGAAAACTATTAAAGGTTGTTTTTGTGGATATGGATTGGCTCTGATGTTCAGAAAACCATGTTTAGTCTGACTTACACTAAAGGTAAGTTGACCCAGGAACGTATTGCCTCTTCTTAACTCACTGGGAGTCTTATGAGGACAAATGAATTGGAGAATAGTACTGTCAGACTTGGTTCTCACTAGGAAGGAAATGAATGCAATTCAATATTTTCATTATTTTTTTCCTTCTCAAACTCTGGTCTCTGCATTATTATATCAGTGGTCAGTGGTTGAGTCTATTTTTGTTGAGATAAAAGTTTGTAGGTTTTGGAACCCAGAGGTGCTGCCTTAATAGTCTCTAATTCCTGAAGATATTGAATCATTATGTAAAAAAATTCCCTAATTTTATGCTACAATAGCTGGCTTTACTTTTACATCTCTTAATTGGTATCAGCTTTTCTCTTAGAATTACAGAACCATGGAAACTTGGCATAAAAAGGAGCTTTGAAAGTAACTTTAAGGGATACTCTTGCCTCTGCAGATCTTTGGGGTCTTCCCGAATTTTGGGATTTCAGGTCAACAGAGTACTTTTCTCTGACTTGGACTATGAAGACAGTAGAATGCCATATCTGTCAATCACAGTGTGACTCTGTCTTTAGGTACTAAGTACTCTGGCAGATGCCAGGGTTCCTTGTCCAAATCTGCTGTTCTGCCCTCTCCAGTACTTACTGACATGATAAAATATCTAGAACCTGCATTTCATTGTCCAAGGTCATTGGATTGGGTGCATTATCTTACTTTGAATTTACATGTGTTGAGTTCCAAGAGCTGGATTATTTGAGATCAGCCTTCATTAGTGGCAAATGAGGAAGGTAGCATTTGGGCTTTAATCAGGTGCCCATAAACTTCGTGATTTCCAGAAACTTCAGAAGTCTCACTTTACACTTCCATAAAGTAGGAATGGTGATTTATTGAGCACTTACTCTTAACTAGCAGTGATTGGATGTTTGAGAGATAGCGTTGATGTTTCCCCTTTGTTTCCTGGGTGCTGTTATGAGGATTAAATTTTTAAAATGCAAATGAAATATCTTGGAAACTATGAATCACTATAGAAATTGAGAACGGGTTATGATGACCCATTGAACATTTCAGAATATGATATCAGGTGCCTGGGTATGCCCCATGGTCTTGTATGAAGGCCATGGGGCCCACAAGTTAGGCCTGTGCCTTGTACTTAGATCTATCTACTGACCATAGCGATTACAGACATTTAAGATGTAGTCATGGTCTCATATCACTGCTTTCTTTAGTGGAAAGATGCCGTGACTGTCTCCATCTTCTAATGATGTCACGTTTCAACGGTCATATTTTTGCTTTTTTCCTGACAGATTTATCCATGGTAGGGAAGACTGTTAACTATTCTGTTTTTTAAAATTCTTTCTTGCCTTCCTTCCCTGCAGCATGCTTTCTTGCTTTTTACCCTTTTCCCATGTTCCTTTGTTAGAGCATTTTATTCCACTTTCTCTCTGAAGAATGCTGGATTCCCTAGGATTTCTTCTTTTACTTTTCAATAGTTGTCCCTGTTCAGAAATTTTGATGGATAGAGTTTATGTCCTTCCATGAAACATACAGAGATCATACCCACACATATTTTCCATGCCCTTCTTTGTTTTCTTTATGTTCTCTTGGCGTTAGCTCCTTCCTGGAAGTGTTTTAATCCACAGGCAACATGCATCTTTTTCAAAATGTCCTAAACAGAATGGGCCATTTGCTCCTCTCATGTACTCTTTGGTCTCTGTTCTTCCACTTGGCTATTTGGCCTCACAATCACGTTGGCCAGAGCAGAGACTTGAGTGCTCCTTTATACTCACCTCCAAACATTACTTCTGTGGTGTGCATTGTCTTTAACTCTTGTCTTGAAAACTTTCTCTCAGACCTTCACTGGCCTATGCTTTGGGGATGGTGAAATGGTATCTTAGCTTAGGTTACCCCTAAGAGGTAGATCATGAGCATGTGTTAAATGGTAGTTGATATATTTGGGAGATTGTTATAGTAAGTACACATTGGTAGGCTGAAACCAGATCGTGCTGTCTTAATGGAGTTGACTTAACTCTTTCTAAGATCTATTCACAATAATGTCATGCCAGTTGTTTGAAATTGGCCTTGATAGGAGTATTAATACCATGGAAATCAGTCATTGACTGAGTATAAATCTGGAATATTTTTCCCCTTAAGATATTCTAGTTGTTAAATATTTCTAAACATGTCATTGGATGCAGGAGTTTGAGATAGAGAAGAGACAGCCATTAATCAAAAACACTTTATCAGAAGAGTTGTACTGTATACCCCAAGAGCTTGATTCTATTGGGGAAAACTTGAATCCTGTTAGAATGCATACCTCAAGGTTATTCTGCCCCTGCAGTCAATTTTTTCTACATTTACTCATACCTGTCATTGGCTAAGAGCTGCCTGGGTTGGAACTAGGGGGAGTCAGCAGCCAGAGGAAGTCATCAGGTGGGTAGAGGTAGCATAGCTTGAGGATCTGGGAAGAGCTAACACAATGATGGCTGGTTAAGGAACTGGACACCTAGCATGGCTCAAAGCTGAAACTCAACTGTTAGTGATGTATGGTTATTGTCTTTTTCTCCTCAGAGCTTGATCTCATGGACCTTATTGGGGAAGATAGAAAGTGGATGGTGGGTAGGAAGCTAATGCAGGTGAATGACAGTCTGACTTCTGAAGATGCAGGACTCCGGAGCAACAAGAACTGCACTGAGCCAGGTAATGGTCATAGATGTGTGTCAAGCAGTGGCAGCCATCTTCTTTGATTATGGTTGAAGAAGGGTTGGGTACTATGTTCATCTATTTGAGTTCAAATCCAGAAACATTTTATGGATATTTAGGGCAGATACTGAAGAAATTCAAATATGAAAGTACAAGAGAATTATTGAGAATCTCTCCCTACCTCCCTCCCTGCCTGCTTGCCTCCCTGGCTTACTCCCTCCTTTCCTCCCTGCCTTTCCTCCCTTCCTTTCTCTCCTTTCCTCCTTCCCTTCCTTTTCTCTTTCCCTTCCTTCCCTTTCTTTCTTCTTCGTAGTAGGATTGAGGAAAAAGGTAAGTTGTATCCTGTCCTATACTGATAACCAAATGTGGAGGCAGGTGCTAACAAGTGGGAAACTGTGTCTTGAAAGTAGAATGAGTGAGGATATGCTGTTCTTTTCTTTGATCCCTGAGATCCTCTCTGTTTTTTTTTTTTCTAGCTAACTTTTGTACTTAAGAGAATTTGGGTCAGATCCTTACCCATAGTGTTGGTCTTCTTCAAAGAAGTATACATTTATTTGTTATTATATTTGATATGTATTGTGCTTATTCTTAGATTTATGCAATATTTTACCTCTGATATTTTTGAACTGAAAAAGAAAATAAATTAAAAAGGGATCAAAGGGAACTGGGGATTATTGAGTCCCAGCTCACTAATCCTTAGGGAAATGACCTCAACGAATGGATGAAGTTCCTAATACCAGGGGTTGACACACTTAGTCTGAAAAAAAAACCTAAAGAATAAATGTTATAGGTATTGCTGGCCATATAGACAATGTCTATAATATGGTCTTTTAATTTTTTAACAATGTTTAAAAAAATTAAGCTATTCTTAGCTTGTAAGCTGTCTGAAAACCATCTGTGGGATAGATTATGTTTATGGCTGTATTTTATCCTAACTTGGACATTAGAGCTCTGGTGCCTTCCTTCATTACCTGATGTATACTTGGATTTCATTTGTGCCCTTCCTTAGGGCCAAGAGCTCAATAACATGCCAGTCCTACACCCAAAATCATTTTAGAGCATTCAGGAATGACACTAAACAATCATCACTATATTTCCAAAGATCATAGGTCTTTGAAAAGATAAAGTATTTCAGCACGTTGTCTTAAAGCTGGAAAGAATCAATCCCCCATACTGTCTCACAAAACCCTATATAGTTTTCAAGGTAGAGAATTCAAAGATTACTGTGGTCATTATTGAATGTTCACAAAGAACATTTTTGAAGATTAGTGAAACACAACACAGCTATAAAGAAATAAAAATGGCCATGAATGCTTTGAGTATCCCGATTGAGTGGATAGTGTGATGTGTGTTCTGTGAAACCAAGGACTGGCTGAAACCAACTTCTGTGAATAGGACCCTGTTGGATGCTTTAGCCAAATGCTTTCTTAACATCATTACTTAGCTGATAAGCTAACTGGGGACTGGGACATTACAAAAATAGAAATACAGTATAAATACAGAATAAAGTCAGACATGATAAGATGATTAACTTTCTTTTGGACTTGGCCATGTGCAGGTTCAGTGGGGATGGAGGCTTCTGATACCTGTTGTTGGGGTCATGTTTTGACGTGTGAGTGGATAGTCTCTCTGTGAGTGACATACTCACTGTTTCATGGATTGCTTTTCTAAGAGTGATGGGGGATAGAATTCAAGTGCACTGAAAGCCATTTTAAGAGAACTAATTCATCTAAGGTACAACACCAGCAATTACTGGAGTTGATAAGGAGAATACAGGGAGAGAAAGGAGAAGAATGACTTCAGGAGAGAAATGGGAGGCAGTAAAACAGAACTCATGGACCTCATAGGCCATATGCATGTTGCATAGGGCAGGTTCAAAGAGAATATGGAACCATGAGAGAGATTTTTGACTTCATCTGTAGACTAAAGGGACTGGGCTATGTTTGTGAGAACTTTGACTCTCTATGGAGATTGCAAATCTGAAACAAGAAAAGTCTTAACTCATATCTTAATGTGTCAGACTGCGGCCTTCATGAACCCTGATTTGACCTCCTAGACTGTGGAGAATGATTACTTTAGGCTTGAAATGTCTGTAGTTTCACCCTTCAGTGATGATTTAAATTTTATGAATGAAAATAATAAAATAAAATAGAAAACCTAGATGCTTAGTTGCCCATATCTGGAGCCCAGTATTCCTGTATACGTAGTGTCTATTGTAACTGTACAACATAGGACCTAGATCATTTCTGGTCTAGGATTTCTAGTTATCACTGGACACAGACGTCCTTCTCAGCTCAGTCACATATATCTCAAGAATGTGGAGTGTCTGTATATATCCAAGAACCCCATCTCCAATGCTGGGCTTGGAGTCATTCTCTCCTGGGTTTGCATCACAGTTTAGAAGCAGTGTGTTTGGGGCAACTGTAGTCAGATTCTCTAAGCCTGTCTGCTTCTTTGTGAAACTGTGATGAGTGCTTTTCTCTCTCACTGCTGCTTGAGAATTGGTAATAAAGTAATACAAGTAAAATAAAGCTGTGTTCCATGTTGGGTAGCTCTCTAGTAGGGGTTTACTTAGGAACTTCCCACTGTCTGCTGACCCATTACAGGTGGGTCACAGTGCAAGATTCCTGAGCCACATTCTCTAGCTTGTGTTGTAGGTGGGTATGGCCGGCCAGTCTAGTTCCTTGAATAGCCTACATCCAGAGTTGGCTTAAGTTTGAGCAGCCAGCCATCTAGACAGGTTCAAATACTATCTTCTCACACAAACAAGTTTTAAAGATCTTGCACATGGCATTGCACACTAGCTTCTGTTGACCATCTGTGTCTATCAATAATGTAATCAAAACAGGCTACAGAGTCACTTGCCACCTCTGCTGCCTCAGAACGTTAGTGCTTTTCCCAGTACCATATTGGTACCATATTAGTTTGAGCAGGTATTAAATTGAGAACCAAAGGACTTTTAAAACCCTTAGTACTGCCATTTTAATAGCACAGTAGAGCCTTTGTCAATGAGCGTATGTTCCAGGACCACCAGTGGATATCTGAAACCATGAATAGTGTACACACACACACACACACACACACACATACACAGAGGCATATATATATATATACACACATATATGTCTGTACGTATATGTCTATACATACACACCTATGATATAGTTTATGAATTAAACAGTTTAACAATAACTAATAAATAGAACTGTTATAATATTCTGTAATAACTAATGTAAAACATAAATTATTCATTTCTGTAATTTCCCATTTAATATTTTTGGATCATGGTTGATTGCAGGTAACTAAAACTGAGGAATGTGAAACTCTGGGTCAGGGGGCACTATGGCACTATGGTCTTTTCCCTCTCATTTATTGTTATGTGGGAGGACTGAGCTGGAACAAGGCAAAGGTTCATTCGCCAGTGTTGCCTAGTTTTCCTTAGGAGGACTTGAATGCAGTGAACCTTGTTTCTACTGACTGAATAGAGTTGTGTCTGCTCTCAAAAAATCTTAATATGGAAGCTAGGAAGGGAGCCTCTGGTGTTTTCTGGGCTCTACCCCTTCCTATGTTTGATGTATGCACTTGGCAGAGATGATGGATCAGAGTTCCCTCTGTGTTTGGAGGGGTGATTGTTTATGCAGAAACTTGATCATTCATGGGGGAGAAGGGACATGCCAGCGCAAGCTGTGGCTATATGATTAATAGTGTCAAGGTCACAGGCAGAGAGTAATATAATTCCTGTTGTGAGGTACACACAGTTGCCACTTGAGATGCCATGATCTTTTCTGATGGGTGTTCACAGAATCTCTGGCTTTGAATTCCACCAGAGGAAGGCTGTCAATTCAGGAATTAGAGATGGAATCACTTCTGTTCTGATTGGATTTCCTGTTGGGGACACAGAGTTGGTTTGCTACTCAGACATCTATTTCCTCAACTATGAAATATATCTTCCATTACTTTACCCCTTCCATTGCACAGATCTGAAAATTACAAGAGTCTGACAAAAAAACCCTTCCACTCTAAGGTTTACTCTTGGCATCCCTTAATAAGTGCTTTGCATGCCATAACTTAGTGCATCTTTTATCTGCTCCCCCACCCCCGCCTCTACCCAGAGGACTCAGTTTTAGCTAGGGGAAACCCAGGGTATGGGATCTTTGGAAAATGACTTTTCTACCTGTGATGTGTGACAACATAGGGATGGCATACTTCATATCAAGGCTGCCATTTTAAGAATACAGTGCTCTAGACATTTTGGAGTTGTACAAAAATGGCATTCTTTCTTTCCCCTCAAAGATCTGGCTTAAGTGGAAATTTATTATTATTTTTACTTCTAGAACTGAGTGAAAAAAACTGACCTCCAGGCTCCAATTTTTTTTTCTGCAATTGTTCCATCTCTCTGAATTTTTAAGGTTGTTTGCTTAGCCTGACACTGCCGATTTCATCTGAAGCCTGGAAACATATTGTTTTTTTGGCAAATAGCACTTGAAATTGTTTACTCAGATGACCTATTAAGAGAAATTTAACTTTGAATAAATTTGATCCAAGGAAAATTAAGTTAGCTAAATGTAATATTGAGGGTGGTAGACAACTGTAGCAGAAATAAATTCTTTGTAATATTTCTGCTTATACTCCACAGAGTTTTTTATTTATATACTTTTCAGTGTGTCTCTAGAAAGACCTATCATCTTTTCATTTTCACTTTTCTGATATTTTAAGGAAATGAGCTTCTCTTTGGAGTGTCTGTTTTAAATAAACTTGGGAAGAAGGAAAAGTTGATCCCTTAAAGTGATGGCTTTTGGTGTGGACTTTACTGCTGAGGTTGCTGTGAGACGCTCTGGATAGGAGTTTACCTTACTAGGACTATATAGCTTAGTTAAATCTAAGGCCTGAGAAGGTGAAGAAGTTACCTGGGCAGGTTGTAAGACCCAGGTGAAAGTTACAAGGTACTGATCCAAAGGAAATATGCCAAGTATTTACCAGATCATGTGTTTATAGGA